ACACACAAAAAAAAAATGCCGTGGGTGCAAAATGTTACGGCCCAAGTTGACGAATAAAAGTGACGAAGAGAGGTTATATCAAAAAAAGGTTTGCTTTCTCGACCGATGAAGATCTTTGGCTGTTACACTCTACAGCCGGTGACGAGTTTTCAGGAAACTTTAGCGATACAAGAAGCCACGATTTATGAGGATAGAGAAATTTAACAGACAGACAGACAGACAGACAGATTCAAATCATCAGCTATTAATACGGATCTGGAAATGTGTGCGTCTTTTGGTCATGAATATTACAGGTTGCTTAATGAGAGACCTACACTAGTGTGTGTGTGTGTATATGTATATATATATGAGTGTGTGTGTGCATATATATATATATGTGTGCGTGCGAGTGTGCGTATGTAAGTAAGTAGGTATATTCAAATATACGTTCTATCTCAGTCTGTTCGCTATCTATCTATCTATCTATCTATCTATCTATCTATCTATCTATTTATTTTAATCTTTTAAAATTTCTCTCATTATACACATGTCTATGTAGGTGTTGTAAAAATGTTTTTTTTTAATGAGTATTGTGTACTATAAATAATGTTTTGAAGCAACAAACATGAGGAAACACTAAATAAGGATGAATGGGTGTTTATCAAATCTGCTAAAGAGAAAAAACGAAATCGTCAAATAATAAAGATAGCATTTGAAACTGGCAATTTTCAACATTGTTAAATCTTGATGAAAAAGTCTCCTCTATTCCTGTGTAGGTGGATCTGCTTAAATAATAATAATAATATGTCTGTTTCAATATATGATATGATATGATATGATATTATATATATATATATATATATATATATATATATATATATATATATATTGTGTATTTAGGCAGCAATCCTACTTTCATGCCAGCTTCATTAAATGACAGACAAGGTGCTTTGATTAAATTTTTTATATAATTTCTCATGTGATCTTATAATGTTTATCTTTTCAGTAGATAGATTATACAAAAACTGTCCGAATGCTCGGAAAAATATTACACTTGTACAGTTTGTATATAATATATCTAAAAGCACCTTGTCTGTCTTATTTAACAAAACTTGCACACACACACACACACATATATATATATATATATATATATATATATATATATATATATATATATATATATATATATATCATTTATTTGTTTAAGCGTTATAATGGCAAAGTAGACGCGTTTCGTCCTGTTGGACTGCATCGGACTAAAAGTTAGGTTTATGCCGATGTAACTACACATGCGCACGATGCTGAAATTTTAAACTTTTAAATTTATTTATTTTTCCTTCGTACACACGCACACACACATAGACATACGCGCGATCGCGCGCACACACACACACACACACACACACACACACATATATATATATATATATATATATGAAGAAATATACTCTTAAGGTGTGCTATATTTATGGGACAAAGTGCTCAATATCATGCTTTATATATATATATATATATATATATATATATAACCTAAAGAATTTATGTTTATATTTTTTTCTCGTAGATACTGTGTTTAAATAGTGTGTATTATATCTATTACTCGAGAATATGTAATAAAAAAAATTACTCTCTGCAGGGTTCGAAACTGTGTCCCTCTTTTGTAGGAGAAGCCGCCATTTGAACCGACGATTTTGGATCTTTACAAGAACGGGGGTTGGAGTGGGGATAATGCGTAGCATGAAAGTTTGCGTATAAAATTGGCTCACTTTGTTGACGTATCTCATTCCAGTCGAGGCGAGATTAGAAATTCCTGGAAAGATTAAAACTGTTTCGATCACAGTAGAGCCACGATCAAGTAGAATGATGATGGTTTAAGGAGCCTTGTTACTCGCTTTCTAGCCAGACACTTGTGCTCTACATTTAAATAAATAAATAATATCTATGAGAAGAGGATAATATTATTAATATTAGTAATTATAATAATAAAATTATATGTAATAATATTGATAAAAATATTTGTGTGATAATAATCATTGATATTAACTGCAGCAATAATAATAAAATTATTCATGAATGCTGATGGCAGAGAGAAAATTTTGTATTCTGTTCAAATCTGAAAAAGTATTGCGTTTGAATAGAAATACTCAAGATTCATTATTTAATAATAATAATAATAATAATAATAATAATAGATTTCCACTTATGCATCCTAATTAAAGGCTTTTCAAGTTCTGTTGTAGTGATATCATCCCAAGTCTACATCTCAAGATCTTTGTACTTTGAGGTTAAATATTCTGCGTATTATTGTTAAGTATCACTTAACATCAGGATTTCTGCAAACAGAAGACATAGATTTAATATCATGCCATATACAAGGTCTCGGGTAGTAACCCGACAAGCGATTATAATTAATAATAATAATAATAATAATAATAATAATAATAATAATAATAATAATGGGGTCTTTAAAATGCAAACGGAACACTCGATCCAGGTCAGAAGATTGATTTGTCGGAAAGTGGATAACATTGTTCCAGGTAAAATACAAGACAAAAATTGAAAAGAAAAACTGGAAAAAATACGAATACCATACCCATCATCACTGGCCCGCTTGGAAAAGTCTCAGAAAAATATTTGGAAAATAGGAAATCCGAGGAAGAAGTGAAGCCATCCAAACGACAGCATTAGCAAAATCCAAAAACTGAGGAAAGCGCGGGAGAGTTGTTATCTTCATTAGATAATGGAATGAATGAATGGAGTGAGTGGAGATTGTTAAAAGCGATTGCTGGCATTTAATCTTTAATAATAATAATAATAATAATAATAAAAAGACTTGCGATACAAATGATACGAAAGATCAATGACGATAAATAATAATAATAATAATAATAATAATAATAATAATAATAATAAGAAGAAGAAGAAGAAGAAGAAGAATTGTTTATTATGGAATCAGTTGAACCCATAATTACTAGCGCACTTGGAACAGTCGCGAAGAGCTTTGCGCGCGCATGTACACACAGACACGCACGCACGCGCACGCACGCGCACGCACGCACGCGCACGCACGCAAACACACACACAAACACGCACACACACACACACGTACGCATACACAATTCGAAAGAAGAATAAAAGATAAGAAATTATTCAAAGAACACAAAAAATCCTGAGGGGAGTGCTGCAATATTTAGGAAGCCTAATTTGTCATGATTTCCATTGATATTCACCCAGCTTCTTACTACTGGTAATGAAACTCAATAATTACAACAACAACAACAACTATTACTACTACTACTACTACTACTACTACTATTACTACTACTAATAATAATGACAGTAATAATAATATTTTTCTAATAGAACAGAAGAAGTAAAAATTGTAAAATTGTAAATAGAAACTGACTATACAACGGAAACATAAAACGAAAACTAAAAGCTTCCAGAATTAGAAAGTTATCACCTGATTGTTAATCTCGCGAGATTTTGCCAATAATAATAATAATAATAATAATGATAATGATAATGATAATAACAGCAACACCAATAACAACAATGACGCCAGGTGCGCTAAATAATGTCATATAAAATCAGTCAAAAGAAAAACTTAAAAAAACATATCCCCCAAAATCTTTTTCCGGCCGAAAGAACATTACATTTGTAAATAATATGTTTGTATTTGCGCGAATGTGTTTGTGTGTGTGTTTGTGTGTGTGCTTGTGTTTGTATTTGTGTGTTTGTGTGTATTTGTATAACAGTGAGGAGCAGAATGCACACATGTCTACGAATGAACACGAATCTACAGGTATTAGTAAATTAATGATATCACTTGCAAAATATTTTGATGTAAAAAAAAAAAGTAAGAAAATTTATTGGGAAGAAAAGGGCGCGAAGGCAGAGAACATATTCAGCATTTCCTAATGAACTTTCTACAAAGATCTGAACATGTTCACTATCTATCCCCCATATATATATATATATATATATATATATATATATATATATATATATATATGGTTAATTTTCGTCCAAACCTACGTCTCATAAAAATGTGCGCCAGAGTAAAAATGACACACTCACGCACAATCATGGAATTTCTTTTTAAAGACGCGACGACTGACAAGAGGTAAATATTTTTCGACTTTGATTCACCCATACAAACACAATGCTGTAAGAGTGATTCCTTCACTAGTCGCAGGTAATAATAATAATGATAGTAGTAGTAGTAGTAATAATAATAATAATTTACGAGTCATACATCGCTCTTACTACTACTACTCCTATCATATAATAGAATAAAATAGAAATATTTCTACTGTTAAAAAACATAAATATATTTATCATATGATTTACAAAGGCGAGATTATTATTATTAATAATAATAATAATCCAGGTGAGTGCATTTTAAGACGGTTTGCTCTCACTTGTTTTCAGCGAAAGCCACTGCCCAGAAAGTTCAATGACTATACCAGTGGTAGCTTCTTTATCGAATAAGAACACAAACTCCCAGCTAGGATCGAACTCATTGCCTCTTAGTATCGATCTGCAACCCAATTTTTTTTTAACCATTTATCATGAAACTAAGCAAATCAAATAAGAATAAGATTGAGCACGATTCAGAGACTTGTTGGCACTTGTCTCATCAGAAAATAATAATAATAATAATAGTAGCAGCAGCAAGAACAATTGAAAAATGAATTCAATAAACGTATTTAAGTCGGTGTTTTCCTATCTGTGTCTCTTCATATCTATCAATCTATCTATCTATCTGCATGCATAGCAACCTACCTACCTACATACACACACGTGTGTGTGTGTGTGTGTGTGTGTGAGAGAGAGAGAGTTAAGCTTACTTGTGCGACCTTAAAATGATAAGAAATACTCAAACTCAACCTTCAAAAATTTAAATGAAAAAAAGAATTCAAAGAAAAATAACGTCAATGAAATCAAAGCGACTCTAACAATGGCGAAACTAATATAACTTGTTCTTTTTAGCACCTCAAAAAGTTTAAATAAAGTCAATTGTTGGCTTCACAATAGAAATGATATATGAAAAAAAGAATCAGTTGTTTAGTATACAATGTGGTCAGTGAAATGCGCACATCATCATCATCATCATCATCATCATCAGCGTCATCATCATCATCAGCGTCCTCGTCGTCGTCCACATCGTGACACGAACGTACCTGATAATATCATTACATTGTGACATTGTGACGCGTTTCTTTCACGCAATAACAAGACAAACAAAAATGAGCGAAACATATAACGCCCGTAACCGTAGAATATAAACAAGTAAAGTTTGAAAAGTGGATTAAAATTTAAAAATAAAGGCAACGAAGAAGAACTAGATATCATCTTCATTTAACCCATAGTCATAAAGCGAACATATAAAAATGTGTATTTTTATATAAAAAGTTCACCAATACAATGCTCAAGAGCCACTCTAGGTAGAAAGTGTAGGATATGAATGAAAGAACAGGTAATAGGAAGTGAATAAGGAGGACAGATAACGATTAAGCCTTGACTTGAATAGGCTGTAGTTTTCAAGGAAGCGTTCATAAGGGACTTTGTTCTAAAACGCAGTAGTTAATTGTTAAAAGCTGTCTGAGTGGAACTTATGAAAGTTATCTAAGTAAATAAAGAAAACATTTTGATATGATAATCAAAGAAACAATTGGAAGCTTGAAAGATTTTTATTTTCTGTTTCGTTTACATTCACGCATTTCTATTATTCATCGCAAATAATATTTAGTACATTAAATATAACAACAAATACATTTTTCGGTGTGCTTTACGCTTGAATTTCTGTGTGAAGTTATGTGCGTATATGTGCATTTGAAGTTTGATAGAAAAGTTCCCAGAAAAAAAAAAAATGGGAAGATATTTATCAAACGAATTTCTAAACGTTTTCTGCAGAAGTTGCGTCGCTGTCTTACCAATTCTGAAGAAACTGTTGACGGTTAATTTAAATAAACGCAAAAATGTTGAAATGACAACATTTCAGAAGATTTCTTTCGATTTTCCTTTATTTATACGAAGACCTGTGGTGAATTCCACGTTTACTTTGCTACGCATTTATTTCTTGATAAAATTCAAAGAAGTATCTGCAATGTTATTGGTCCTGATCTAGCATCTCAGCTTCAATCACTTTCCCATCACATTAACGTAACTTTCCACTGACTTTTCTATAAACACTTTCATGGTAATTGTTCTTATGTACTTTCCTCTATATTACTTAGACTTTCTGAAGTGTAGTCATACAATGGCGGCATGGTCTCACCATTTTATAATTGAAATGGCTAGATGTAATCGTAAGTTCTATGCTAACAGTTTCTTCTCTCGCACATTTCGTTTGCAGAGCTCTTTTCCGCCTTCTTGATTTCTTGTTAACCTTGATGCTTAAAAATTTAAATACAATGTCAATCGTTATTTTCTGTCTTCTTAATTCCTATTTTTTTATTGTTCTTTCTCCTTAATAATATTTTTTTCTACATATTCTCCCCCACTCAGTAAGCCCTTGCATCTCAGTGGCTTTATTGTCTTGCTTGGGGTGAAATTATTTAAAAAAAGAGGATTTTCAGGGTTTAGTGAAACCTATATAAACCTTTCTCTACAAAGGCTGCAGGAGAAAGGTTGGCAGTTGGTAGAAGCTTCGACATATGTACGTGTGTGTGTGTGTTTGTGTGTGTGTGTGTGAATCTATCCGTATGCATAGATTATTGTAGTTAGTTATCTACAAATGTGAGAAGTTAATCTTTTCCTGCCAATAAAATTGCATGTGTACGCACGCGTGTCGACAAGGCGATAAGCAGGGCGAAAGACGGATAGTTAGTAATACTTAAGAGAGTTAAGTGTAAATATCGTAAATAGGTCTGTAGACCAGCATTCAGACTTGCAAAGCAAAGAAAATTCAACACAACAGTAAAAAGCGATATTTTGAATAAGGCTTTTCAAGGGATGCAGACAAGCACGCCATTTGCAAGATAGGCGCGTATCACAAACTACATATACTTGTACACAATTATATTGCTATTCCTCACAGAAGGTTTTATGGCATATAAATAGACAGAAACAGATAGATATGGAGAAATATATGGGCATAGATAGATAGATAGATGTGAATAGACTGAGATAGATATATTATAGATAGATAGAGTTATGTACATAATGAGGTAGAGTTAGAGAGAGAGAGAGAGAGAGAGAGAGATGAATAGCGATAAATAGATAACGTAACGAGATACATTGATAGATATATGAACAAACTGATATATGTATAAATATATATGTATATATACGAACAGATAGATAGATAGATAGATAGATAGATAGATAGATAGATATGAACAGACTGAGATAGATAGATATGAATAGACTGAGATAGATAGATAGATAGATAGATAGATAGATAGATAGATAGATAGATAGATAGATAGATATGTAACGTAATAAGATAGGTATTGATGAACAAACTGAGATAGGTAGAAATATGAGAATAATGAGATACATAGATAATAGATAAATAAATTCGTAGATAAATAGATTGATAGATATGAACAGACTGAATTATGCATACACACATATATATATAGAGAGAAATTGATAGATAGCTTCGAACAGACTAAGATAGATAGATAGATAGATAGATAGATAGATAGATAGATAGATGTAAAACACATCTCTGAGTTCGTAAGTAGGTACTATATATATCTTGGAAGACCCAGCCAGCCAAAAAGAAAACAAACACAAACTGCCTAAACAAAGACGAAGAAAACTCCTAAAAAATCCACTCGAGTCGAGATACCCTCAAACGAAAATTGACACGGAAAAATGTACGTAGAAAAAAGACTTATGGCAAACGTTTTTTCACCGAGTCGACAGCTTGACAATGTGTACTGTAGAATGTTTAATGACTGAGGGCAATTTAAGCAACAATAAATCGATTATCGGCGAATATATATATATATATATATATATATATATATATATATATATATATATATATATATATATATATATATATATGTATAATGTCTATACATGGACAGGACAGTAACAAATAAATATGACGATGTCTCTATACGTTTAAAGCCCAAACTCTCTCACACACACTAATCTAAATTCACATGTTTGTGTGCATGTATGTATATTTTTTGCGTAAACAGACACAAGCGGTAGATAGATAAACCTGCGAATATTGTACAAATGGATACTGATATAGATATTTGTTGCACTTTGAAGTTGACTGAATTTGTGAGATGAAATATTTCCACGATTTTATTTTAATCTTCATAAGTTTGTATTTGGGATGAAATCGTTTACGATCAAAAACACAATTCCGACACAAATAGATTTTCCTGGGCTGAGCTAAAACTGTAATAAAAAGTAATTTCTTAGAGCACCTGGCAAAGTAATTGTCATCGCATGTTAAGCTCTGAAAGAAATATTGAACTCGAACACTCGTGATAAATACTAAAAAACAGAGATGGGAAGATATGATGAATAGATTTTGATAAAGAAACATATTTTGCTAGATAGATAGATAGATAGATAGATAGATAGATAGATAGATAGATAGATAGATAGAGATAAGAAATCAGTGTGATAGATATAGATAGATTTGAATAGAATTTAACAGAAAAACAACCAGGTAGCTAGATATCAACACAGAGATATTTAGATTAGCAAACCGAGACAGATCTGAGATAGGTATATACTACAGAGTCACACACACACACACACACACACACACACACACACACACACACACACATATATATATATATATATATATATATATATATATATATATATATATATATATATATATATATATATATATACAGATAGAATTGACTGAGATAGACAAGCAGATTGAGATACACAGTTAAATACATGGAAACCGACCGACAGACAGACAGACAGACAGATAGATAGATAGATAGATAGATAGATAGATAGATAATGAAAAATAACATTTGTATGATATATGACAAAACAGGTAAATAGAAGGAAAGGGAGAACGAAATAAATGAGTCTAAAAACTACATTTCTATCGACAGAAATGAAATTGTGAGACGTTTTATGCACTTAAAGGTACATGCTCACACACATGTCTACAATTACTCACGCCTACAGTGACATAGAGAGAAACAGGAGCAGACAAATAGTTGATAAAAACGCGAGATTGTTAGATGACTAGACAGTATATAATACACACACACACAGACACACAGATACATACACACACACATATATATATATAAATATATGAATGTATATGCGTGTATGTGTGCCCGCGTGCAACTATAATTTCTTACTTTCTATACACACGACAAAACCACACGCAAACATACACATACGTGTCAAAATCAATCAACAAATAATAAAGATCAGATGATCGATAAATAGCGAAAACGATAGGCTGATAAAAAAGTGGAATCAATTGTAACGCCTTTGGTAATTTATGTGTACATATCCGAATGGTTATGAAAATCACAGCACTGAGATTATATAAGATTGGTAGACACACATATATATATATATATATATATATATATATATATATATATATATATATATATATATATATATATAGATAGATAGATAGATAGATAGATAGATATTAGCTAGTTGATCTAGGTAGCTTGATGCTCGCTAAATACGAACACAGAAACCGATAGATGTTTGACTGGAGGATAAGAAATATAGATAGACACAAGGTGTTAGGGAGAGGCAGAGTGGGAGAGAGTAAGAAAGAGAAAGAAGAGTTTTACATGTCTATCAAGATAGATATGAGTCTCTAGTTTATAGACAGAGAGAAACAGATTAGGATAAATAGAAACAAACGGGTGTAAATACAGACAGACATACAACTGTATTGGTCAATAGCTAGATAGATAAAGATCATAATATGACATATGTGTATATAAGTATTATTTACCTTATCGTTGTTGTGAAGATATTGTAGGCGTCCTGCATGGTGAGACAAATACGGTCTATATATCATATTGTATAGAGTACCATTAACTCGTCAAGCAGCGTTCTCTTAGAGGTCTGAACAGGGGAAATTCAGAAGAACGAAAAAAGGTGTAGTGGGAGGAGGGGTTGGAGGAGGAGAAGGAGGAGTGAGTGACTAGAGTGTGGGGAGGGCGAGACAGAAGATGATGTGGAGAGTGGTGGGAAGAGCACAGTGAAAACGAGAGAGAGACATAAAAACAGAGAGAGAGAGAGAAAGGAAGGAAGGAAGGGAGAGTCAGATTCATCGGAGAAGAGAAGAGAAAAAGAAGGAGTTTTGTGGGTTGGGTCTTGTAGAGTTTCCTTTTTTTTATTGGTCCTGTCGTAGACACATCCCTCCTTCACGAGTGTGCAGTGGCCAGTTGGACGTCGGCGGCCGGCCGTGTAAGATGGACGCTATTCCCGAGTTTGCTGGGGGTGACTTCAGGTAGTTTATATCGTTGTCAGGGAAATTTCATTTACTTACTTTTTTGCCGCGAGAGGAGAAAATGGTTGCGAGGCTAAGAAGAAATAAAACTACCCAGTCCGTAGTAAACGCTTTACTTTTTAACTTGGTGGGCTGGCGTGTGAAAGCGAAGACGCTTAGACGTAGAGAGAAACATATTATAAACACACACTTGTACATGTGTGTGTGGCGTTATATTTACTGAGAGAAAGAAGAGACAAAAAGGGAGAGAAAGACCACATGGCAGACAGCAAACAACACCAGCAGCAGCAGCATAATAATTGTTTCTACTTTAGTTTAAAACAGTAAAACACAACAGAAAGAAAAGAGTGTATTAACGCTGTTAACATCTACACACCCACCATCATTTCTCCATTTCCTCACTGTTTCTATCTTTTTCTTCCATTTTTCTTTCTTCTTTTTTCAGTCTTTTCTTTCTTTTTCGGTTTTTTTTTTGCTTAGCGTTCGCTTCTTCTGTTTCTTTTCATTTTTCGCTTTTTCTTTCTTTATTTTCTTTCCGTTTAGTTTTTTTTATAGCTTTTTTTTAGTGTTTTTATAGTTTTTTAGCTTATTTTTTTTAGTTATTAGCTTTTTTTTTAAGCTTTTTTAATTTTTTTTTTTAGCTTTTTATAGTTCTTAACTTTTTACGTTGTTTTAGCTCTTTTTTGTTTTAGTTTTTCAGATTTTTTTTTAGTTTTCTTAGCTTTTTTTCTTAGATTTTTAGCGTTATTTTTTTAAAAAAATTTTCGTTTTTTTTTCTCGCTTTTTTTCCAGTTATTTTCCTTTCTTCGTTTTTTGTTTCTTCCGTTTCTTTCTTTGTTTTTGTTTTTTTTTTAATCTTTTCATCGTTTTTGTTTGATGAGTTCATTTTCTTCACTTTTCTGGTAGGAAAAAAACAGAATCTAAGTCAGATGTCAAGTTGTAATATCCCTAAGAAGACTGTTTTCCTCTCATCATCGAAATCAGAGAATTTGTGCATTGTTGAATAAGTTACTCTGATCAAATGAGGAATTGAAGAATGATATGCAGAAAGGCGAAAACAGAGGAAAAAAAGAGATGGACTTGAAAATGAAAAACTTCAAGCCCCAAGAAAAATTGTAAAACGAAGTTGAAAGAGAAGAGAGAGAATAGAGAGAGAAGTCCGTGTGACCCCTACAAAAGTTTGTTAATATTCATGTACACACTGTCTGTAAGAAAAAAGTGGGTACAGAATAGGGTGGGAACGGGCTGTTGATGTGGGAGAGGTGGGACTATAATGGTGGATGGAGCCTTCTTTCGGTGGGTTGCCGAGAAGAGAGGGACGGGGCGGGCGCTTCAACTAGAGGAAGGGGGCCGTTATAACTGACACTAGAGACTGACGACGACGACGATGTTAGGGAAAAAAAAACTGGAGATAGCATGCCGCGTGTATGTATATAAAAAATATACATTTATATATATGGGCGCGTTAGAATGTTCGCTTTCCGATTCTGAGAACCGGGTTCGAATCTTACCATGGTCGATTTGTTAGGAAGGTGACTTCTCGATGTTATCGGGAAGCGTTCCCAGTGTGAAGCAACTTTTGGAAAGTACCTGGAAACCATACATCGGGTTGAATGAAGGCATTTCAGTAAAATTGAGTAGACAGAACTGTTCGGAGCCCGTCGATGGGCGAGGGCTTCAACGTACAGGCCTTCTTCAAATTGGTGATTATGATTATGACAGAGTCTACGCTATCTCCCAGAAACTAAAGGCCACTCAGCATAGTTGCAGTATAAACCACAGGTGGGCTCTGTTGCTGCTGAACAAACACAAATGTACCTGAGCTGGCGTCGGCGACAGAGATTGGCTAGCAGACGGTGTGGTCAGAAAACGAAAGGGAACCTCAGCTTGTCTCGCTAGGACATTTAGGATTTACGACTGAGTCGTGAATTCGTTTCTCACTGGATGCCCCATACTTTCGGCCTTGTGTCAAATTTAAACTACACTTGGAAAATCACTATATATATATATATATATATATATATATATATATATCCGACAACTACATATATATATATATCCGACAACTACATATATATATATATATATATATCAGAAACTAACTATATATATATATATATATATATATATATATATATATATATATATATATATATATATATATATATATATATATATCCGATATATATATATATATATATATATATATATATATATATATATATATGAGCACTTCGGCGGGTGTAATGATTAGCAAGTTTGTCACGCTAGACAATATATATATATATATATATATATATATATATATATATATGTAGGTACGTAGCATACTCATTGATAATACAAATATAAAAGTATCATCCACATGTACAAAAAGGCTCAAAATAATGGAAACATTATTAATAAAAAGGAAAAAGCCAACACTCTGTCATATCAATTATGAACACTACCACAATATTCTGAACGTGTTTGAAAAATAAAATGTTTCTCCAGCTATAGATACATACATAAAACAATCCCCATATTCAGTTAAAGGTAAAATAAAATTCATCCTTGATAATGGCAAAAATACAGCCAAGAACGCTTGGAAAACATTCAGGGAATTTTTCTTTATGTCTTGAAAAGATAAAAAATTATATGAAGACATGAGAAATTAAAACTCAACCACTTCACCCTGTCAGACATTTTCAATGAAACTTGCATTAATATATATATATATATATATATATATATATATATATATATATATATATGTGTGTGTGTGTGTGTGTGTGTGTGTGTGTGTGTGTGATAGAATAAGGAACAAATTGGAAAGGTTTATAAATTTATAATGTTTCGGCTTTATTTAAGTTTTATCAGACATTTTTCGAAATGAGTTATGGAAGAAAAATAACTCATTTAAAAACATCTGATGAAGCTTAAATAAAAATGAAACATGCTAAATTTATAAAGCTTTCCTCTTCGAGCCTTATTCTATCATTCTGTTAGATTTTAACCATATTGGTTCCAATTCATATATATATATATATATATATATATATATATATATATATATATATATATATATATATATATATGAAGAGAAAAGATAATTATGTTTAGAATGGGAATGAATTAAATAAATTCTTCTGATAAACTGAGGTATATGTTAGGTTTAACTTCATATTGGTAGCGGTAACATATGAATAATGCATTTGATCTGTAAAATGCGTGTTTGCACATACACACACACGCACACACATACACACACACACTTTAAAATGTAAACTATGAGATAAATCTACCCAGTTGTGTGTAGAGACGTACATTTACACCCACTGATAAGCCGGACATCCAAGTTTGCATATAGCAGGTATCATCTAAAACCTAAGTGTATATTACATAGTTGTCGCCCTTGTGAAAATATAAAGCTTAATAAGTTTCAGTAGTTCTCTCTCTCTCTCACACACACACACACACATACATACATACATATATATATATATATATATATATATATATATATATATATATATATATGAGTTTATTGTTATTAATATACAACATCCTGCCATTGTAGGCAGACAATTAAAACACAAGTTGGCGCTGTTCAGAGATCCGTTCCCAATTTTAGGTCTAACTAGGAAAATATTAAATATTTTTTGTTCTCCCCCTAGTTGTGGTAAATAATTTTTTTCAACTACTTAGTTTGTTTTTTTGCCGACGATATTATTTTTCTGAAGATGTGTTGGCCGAAAGGTACCTTTAAATTTTAATCGTAGTGATACTTTTGTGTCGCTTTTTTATATGAATAATATATGATCCCCTTTCTATATATATCATATATATATATATATATATATATATATATATATATATGTGTGTGTGAACCACCGTCTGATCCGACATGCATTGAACGTTCGGCTACGAAGAGCTTCCCAATCAAGAAAGGTTATATTTTCCCTTTAAAGGGCATTCATTCGTTTAGATTTTATCGAAACGCATATCTGCTCAGCATCATATCCGAATCATATACAAAGCAATTTCTAAAGAATTGATATATTTTTTAACGCTTGAAGTAATAAAAATAAATCGGATTAAAAAAACAAAACAAAACAATAACAACAACAACAACATCATCATAATAATAATAATAATAATAATAATAACGATATATATATATATATATATATATATATATATATATATTACTTAGAATTTTTATATTTATAGGGAAAGAAAACTTAGTAATGAAGAGAGAATTTTTATAGATATAGAAAGTGTGGACATAGAATTCAATACTGCATTATGACAGTCAGTTTTACGTCTCTATGCAATCATCAGACCAAGTCTCTCTCTCCTTTTTTTCCTATCTATCTATCTATCTATCTATCTATCTATCTATCTATCTATCTATCTATCTTAGGGATACGGAAATCAACATCGCCTGGTGACTAGCAGTTTCATGCCTTAAATTGTCATCTGACCATTGGATTTGGTGACTTCGTGAAGATGGATGATAATTTCGGATGTAAAACTAATCGTCATACTCCTCTTCAGTGATTCCTATATTCAGACTATTTTACGTACAAACACTATTCGATATATTGAGCACTCTTCCGTCATAAATATAGCAAATTCTAAACACACACAGACAAAAAAATTTCAGTGTTCAAACACATATGTTCCGATTCAGAGTTTCGCAGATGAAAATCGGCACATCAGTGTATTTATTTATTCAATATTAATATTCTCTTTTTTAATATTGTGTACTTTTTTTTACGAAATCTGCTTGCCTTAAACACGTTATCTCTCAGTACTTTAGTACTATTTGACGCTTTCTGTTAGGCGTAATCGATCTTTGTTATATATATATATATATATATATATATATATATATATATATATATATAATATATATAATGCGATGGGTAAATTTTCGCCATTTTTATGCGTGTTGTTTGTTTTTATTTTGTCGACTACACAGAGTCAGTTGGGCACCGTCTGTGAAAAAAAAATTTCCGCTAGAAATTTGGAAACGGCATACAGTAATGCTTGGCATTCGCACAAGCTCCAATACGAACATTTCAGAGGGTCTGTGTGTCAATCTGTGAACTGTGCAGAGGATTCGGAAAGAGATGAGTCTAATGCTGATTATGAAAGTTTTTGTAGTGACTACAAGTGAGGGATAAGTTATTCCTCTATTCATCTTCCCACAGGGTCTCAAACTGAATACGGAGGCCCACATAAAGTTGCTTGAGAAGTTAGTGCTGCCCTGTGACAAGAGGGTGGCTGCTGGAGGACTCTGTGTCTGGAAACAGGACTCTGCACAACGTAACACAAGCAGGAGAACCCAGTCATGACTGTCAGACAATTTTATACAAAATATTAACTGAAGACAAGGATTTAAACAAAGAAATCTTCCAGAAGATTCCGAAGTCGTCTGGAGGCCGTGGTTGAAGCCAATGAGTATTTTATTGGATAAATATACTATTTAGTATTTCGAGATGTTTTTGTGAAATTTTGGTATATATACTCCATGTGTTCTTTTTCTTATATATATATATATATATATATATATATATATATATATATATATATATATATATATATATATGCACGTTTTACAAAGAGAAACCTGAAAAACTCCATCCCCAACATACTTATAGAAAATAGAAGTATAATAACACAAACTATGAGCCCGGCCACAATATGCTGACAGTATCTGGAAAATAAAAAAACATTTCCATCACTCTAGAAATATAAAAACATTCAGTTAAAAAATAAAAATAAAAAAATATCCTTGATAATGGTTAATAGAACAGTCGAAAGTGCTCGGCTAGCATTCGAACGATTTTTACACACTTTATGTACCGAAAAGTAAACAATTATATGAAGACAAGAATTATATGAATTATATGAAGACAAGAAAGTCGTCTTGTATGAAAATAAAAGTTGTATAAAATGTGATTGCTGTCCAAATACACAAAATTATATATATATATATATGTATATATATATATATATATATATATATATGTGTGTGTGTATAGGGTGCGTCAGGTATTGGAGATCACATCTTTAGAAAGCCATAAATGGCTAACATTAACTCGCCATGTAATCTTCGACTTTAACGCCAATCACACAAATTCGAGAATTACAGCCGTTTTAAATGTCGTCAGATCCTTCGTGTTTAAGATGCAAAAAGAGCTCCAGGCCTCTGACAAGAATTTGTTTTCAATAGCCAAAAGAAACAACATTGTCAGGAATGTTGACTTCATCTAGCAAGTTCAGGGTATCATAGACGAAAACCCCGGAAAAGCAATGAAATTTATAGCCAATCAACACCATATTTCAGAGTAAATAATCAGATTGTAGTGGCCCAAATCCTCAGATACAAATCCTTCATGAAGAGAGAGCAGTTCGTATCCACTAATAACTGGGAGAACTGTGTGATCCGACCGAAGTACTAACTCAACAAAGTCAAGCACCAACATGCTCTGTCTTTTTCTCAAATGAGAACAATTTTGTTCAAGATTAAAAAATAATCAGAAGGAATGAAGTATCTACTGTTATGTACAAGTTCCTCTCGCCTGTGATGGTCATGGAGGTCGCGAGCAAAGAGGTTAACATCATGTCTCATAACTTAGGGTCAATGTCAATACTTTCTTTGAGTCGGTGGGCACCGATGCCAAGAGATCGAGAAAGTGGAAGATGCCGGAGGAGTATCAATCAATGAGTGTTCTCTATCACACAACTAACCAGAAACAGGTATGACTGGTCGAATATTTTCACAATCATGTTACACCTAACATTAAACTTGCAAGCTCCCCTAATTTAAACCTATAAAACTATTACGTCTGGGAGACCAACAAAGAGGATTACAATATCAAGGACTCGTTGATGCATACTATCGGATTGTTATGGCCGACGGAGGCAAATCGAAGGCAGTAATCGAAGTTGATGGCGGTTATATTAAATAGACTTATGTTTTGTGTATGTATGTAAGAAAATATGCCCCAAATTATGCAAAAAATATAATGTCTTCTCTAGTAAATAATATAACCTTAAATTAAAATTTTAAATACTTGACGCGACCTGTACATAAAGATGCCGTAGAGTGTTATGATTGCCCGAGAAGGAAAGTTACCGGGTTCGAATTCCGGTTGAGTGTGCTTCTGTTCATTTAGCACTAATAACCTTATAAAATGTATGTCAATTTCTCCCTCTGCTCACTACAAATATCTCAATATATACTCAAACATTATTAAATGTCCGTCACCGTTTCAACCACTAAGATTGCTAGATAACAAGGTACAGGTTTAGAATCGACAGATTATTCATACATTAGTGAACGTAGATGCACACAGAGAACTCTTCCTAGGAATTGGCTTCATGCATGAATTGGTGGATTCTCATCAAAATAGAGAATACAGTCGGAAAAATAAAAACAATATAAATGGAGAAGGAAATAATGAATGGCTTTTTTTTAAAATTGGTCACCGATTGACTTTTTGTTTCATTAACAGTCCCAGCAGAGATGACACTACCTACATTAACTGATGAAAGAGAGGATAGACTGAAAAACATTTGAGAAAAGCATATATAGTACGAATTTCATTATTCACTGTCATATGTTACGCCTTCATTGTCAAAAACTTTCTTTTTTAAATATATTATATCTAATTTATTTTTTCATTAAAATAAATTCATTTTTCTTTTTTCTTTTTTTAAATTCTAACAACTTCTATTTTTTAAATGACATCAGTATATACGCCATCAAATTTCTCTTGCCCATAAATGGTAAACGCTATAATAATATTGACCGTTTCCGTTTCCCTATAAGCAAATATTTGGCATTCATTGATCGAGCAGCCAGTGCTACTTTCAGTTGAAATTTATAAAATCATTCTATTAAAAGAGTTTTTCAGAAAAAATAAGGTTCTCAAGTTCACAAACTGTTTCCCACTTTTCAGTACTTCCTAAGCTTTTGTTTAACGCCATGTGGTATGTCAACATCTTGATTATAAAATATTTTCTCTTCAACTTATCTACGCTAGCCATTTTAGTTGTTGTTATTGCTGAAAGTCTTCAACTGATTTCATTTCTGTTATTTGGCAAATTTCTTTGTTGATTTTGTAGCGCCAGTGTACATCATACCAAAGGTTAATTCTGTCTGAATTTCTGGGATGAGGGCTTATCATTATTTCCAATATTTTCATTCGGATTGTTGTCTTCATCTTTGTTGTTGTTATCGCAACCTTTTGCTCGTTGTATTCTCCGGCTTTCTTCAGGTGTTTGTCGAATAAAAATAATCTACCACTAGATTAAATAAAGTGTTCAATTCCTTGTAAGTTATCAGGATCGAGAGACTCTTGAAGAAAGCCGAAGAGCACAACGGTCGAAACGTTGTGATAATAACAAGAAAGATAAAGACAATCGTCGGAATGTAAATAAAAAGTGTAGGACACAAGCTTAAACATTGGAGTATCAATATCGGTAAAATAATGCTGCCAAAGATACTTTGGATGACAGGAATCTCTGATGTGATTCATAATAATAATAATAATAATAATAATAATAATAATAATATGTCGCGCATTCAAGCTCCCTTCCAAAGAGAATTGGCGGGAACATAAGCCATCACAAGTTGTACAGATTGAAGAGGTTATCAATTCTCTGTAAGTTCAGCGTTGAAATTGTCAGGAAAATTGTTGTATCTCGTGTTTTCGAGATAACAGAAGGAAATAAATAAGGAAGACAAACTCATAGGTAAGTAATGGAATAGAAAGTTTACTACACGAAGAGCAACTTGTATTCTACAAAGAAAAGGTAAAACATTAATAATAATAATAATAATAATAAATGGATATGTTGATTTATTCACCATCCGTCCCAATCTCATTGTCTGAACGTACTCTCAATTCTTCTTTGAGTTTCGTCCTTGAACATATTCACTCCTTGGCGGTCAAGGTTAAAACGCAAATTCTTACGACTCTCAATGAATACGAATAAAACTTCATGCAGGATCGGTCGCCATCCGGGTCAACAAGGACCGTGTACCCCAGAGAGGAACCAGTCTGGGGCCGAAAAATCTGCCACTAGAACAAACTCTTCCAAAAACAAAGAAACACTAGGTCACCAAATCCGGACTATTTCCAACTTTGGACCAAGTGTCTCAATGCCAAATCAAATAATAAAAAGAAAACGAACGAAATTGTCTTGGGAATATGTCATGACACAATTACAAGGACCTTGAAATCGAAATGTCAAAAATGTGGCACATGGGAACATGAAAGGTCCCCGTTGTAGTTGGAGCCCTCGGACTGGTTGGAAAAGATTCCAGTAGACTAATTGAAGGGATTCCTGGAAGCCTATGCCTTAAAGAAATACAAAAAATTGTTCTTACGAAGGGCTTTGTCTATG